GTATTTTGGATACTTCCGTCTCATTTTGTTTGATTTTGTTGGATTCAGTAAATTCAGCTCCTCCTCAGACAGTTGCCGTTGATTCTGTTTTTGTTGTTGGTTGTTCTTTTTTGTTGTCAGACACACGTGTTGTCTCCCTTCCCCCTCTCCTGGAGCGCACGGCCCGCATCATGCCTTGCCTTGTTAGTCACAGAGCCGGGGCCGGATGTGCCGCGCTGTTAGAAGGTAGGGTAATTTTTGTTGCCACTCTCTTTCGTCCCCTGGGTTTGTGCCCCTGTCACGGGCTCAGATCTGGAGACTCCTCCATGAAAGGTAAACCAAGTGGCTTTCCCTTAGCTTCACCGTCAGGGGCTGGATTGCCGTGGAGCCTGAACTGATACACACAGGTATAGTCCGGGTGGCCCCAGTTGCTCAGCACTCGCAGCTTGATGTAATTGATGAACCCGGAGTGCTCGTTCTGCAATGAGAAAAAGAAATGAACTGTGTTTTCCTCTCTCCTCTTTGGCCACTGACAATGCAGGAGTGACACACTCACGCAACATCCTACTTCAGGCTGCCTTGCTAGGTCTTCTGGCACGCTGATAAGCTGCCATAGCGCAATCAAGACATTTCTTACCCTGCTCCACCTCTTTGGCCACGTGAGTTTTAAAGAAATAAACAGCTACCAAAAGCTGCAGCAAATACACTGCCAAGTTCTTTGCACTTGCTTTGAGTGTGTGTTCTTGCACAGAACAACACAGGGGTCGTAACTCTCATTGCTTTCTCTAGAATGTCACCCATCAGAATGGCCTCCCTGATGCTGCCCGTTACCGGCAACAACAAAATCCCTGGAAAGCCACACATCCCCAGTGTGAAAGTAGCCTGCCAGTACTGCACCCTACGTGAGGCAGCCGCTTGTGTGCAATTGGAAGCCACCTGGTCATGGCAATTTCTGCTGCAAGTGTAGCTGGAGCTTAGCGGTGCTATAAGCTGAAGCAGCTCTGCAGCTTAAAAGCCAGAAGGAAACAGAAACAGCCCAGCGGTCCGGGCATATGCAGGCAGTATAGAGGCAGCAGCAGAAATGCACGAGGGCCCCCATACGCCTCAGGCTTGGAAGCTTTTCCCCAGCCAACCGCGGTTCCCCTCTCCCACGCTTCACGTCCCTCTTTGTGTCCTTACCTGCAGCTGGAAGGTCTGACTGGGATCCTGGCCTGGCGTGAAGGTGAACTCTCCTAGCAAAGTTCCTTCCTCGTCACCTTCTTCCTGCAGGCCCTACAGGAAGACAGGGGTGGAGAAAACAGAACAGTGGGATGCGCTGCTGGAAGAGGATCACAAAGCCCCACAGGGCTTTCTGAAGCAAAGGTGGTCTAGGACCATCCACTGTGCCACTTCCCTTTCCCTCTGCCTCTCAAACTACCAACTCGCCCCAAGAGCGGGAAACCTTCTTTGCTGTGCTACCTTGGACAAAAAAGGAACGCTGTGGAAATGGAGCAACTCTGAGGAGCTTGTTACTCGCCCTGTGCAGGGAAGAACTGCACGCAGCAGCCCTCTTGGATCTGCAACCACCCTCCACGTCAAACGCTACGCAAAACTACCGCCACAACCCAGAGGAATCACTTACATAGACAGCAAAGTCCTTAGGAGCACTGGAGGTGCTGTCTGCATGGTAGGCCGTTGCTGGAACTCCATGGTTTAATGTAACTGCCGTGGGAAAGATGGCCCTGGGCAACTTGATGAAGACGTGCCCTTGGCTTCCTGGGAAGGGCCAGCAGTTACCTGGCTGATTGTCAGGCTGAAAAGAGAAGAAGAAACAGCGTTCATGTGCAAAAGAGCATCCTGGCTGAAATTCCTGCTGCAGCATCAGGGGCTCTGCAGGTGCACTGGCCCATCAGCTCTGCTCCAAAGCACAGGCATACGGGCATGGCGGTGAGCTGGGTGCACAACCTGCAGAAGCTCTTGGGCTCCTTCTTTTGTGGGGCAGCTTGCAAAAAATAAAAAAGAGGGGCTGCTGTGGCTGAAAGGCACCTGCCCGGGGCAAAGAAGGGCCCACCTGCACGAGCCTTTCCTGCAAGGGGAAGCAATCGCTCCCTCTCATCCAGTCCCACCCCCTTCCCCCGGCACCAGCCAGGGCTCCGACTTGTGCAGGTAGCTCAGGAGCAGTGCCAGGATGGGCTGGCAAACACAACATGGGGCCCTCCTGCAGTGCACGCCCTCCGTGCCCTCTGGGGCTCATTAAGAGCCCCAGCGTTCTCGCAGCCCAGATCTCTCATGGCACCTTATGGGTTCCCCTTCAGTGCCGGCCAGACAGCTCCACAATGGCTGGGAAGACAAGCAAGCTAGCCTGGCAGAAGCTTCCACAGAGGACCTGGGGCAGTCTGGCAGAAGAAATTCTCTGCTGGGATACACAAGAGGGGAGTAGGTCCTCGCAAGAAGGGGTGAAGACAAGGGTAAAGGCAACCCTCAGCAGGGCGTTTGGCCCCCCTCTGCCCCGCACCATTCTTCCTCTGTTTCACACTGTTCTTACCTCAAGAATAATCTCAGGAGGCCTCATATATGGTGTCACCAGCAACGAGTGCCAGAAGACTTTCCCGCTTCCAATCCAGGAGGGAGAAGTCTTGGAACGAACGATAGCGGCGCCTGCAAATAAAAACACGGGCACAGTGGTCAAGCAAGGCCAGGAGGAACCAAGGGCTGCTGACTCTGTTTTCCACATGAACAGCTGCACAGAAATGCCGGCTGCCTTTGCACTGTCCTCTTCAAAAGAGTTTCAAAGGCAGCCATACATCCCCAACAGTGATATTCCCCTCGTTCTCACTTGCTGTATCCCTCTGCAACACAATGCAGGGACTCGCTCAGCTATCCTAAGGGGCCACATAAACTGACAGCCAGCTGAGCAGTCACGTGAGAAACAACACCAAGTAGGAGTAGCGCTTTTCAGATGTGCTCCAGCCCGCTGAAGGCTCTCTCAGCAAGCACATTCTCAGGGCACAAGGTGGCCATTCACTCCTCACCCCTTCTCCCCTACCCTGCCCAAATGCCCGTCCTGTCAAACTGGACAAGACGCCCTTTGGAACCACCATCTGTGGTCTGGTTGTTTCTACAGCTTAACGGCAGCACCTGAAGTTTTGCTGGCATAATTACGCATCTGGAATGGGCTTTCTTCCAGCTTCTCCAGGACTTGATTGATCATCTCTTGAACAGCCTGGGAAGAAAGACAAAGGAGAGCGCTCATCAGAAGGAAAAGAAAAGGGAAAAGAGTTGCCTCCCAGCTCCCCTACAAAGCCTGCCAAAGCAAACTCGGCTGCTCCACTTGGATGTAATTCACACTGCCTGGGAGTTGCCTGCGAACCTCCAGAGCTCTACTATGACCATCTGGCACGGGAACAGAGAGGCTGCTCACTCCAGCGCACTGGACACGGATGCGGCACGAATGGGCTTTTCCTGTCGAGATGCCCCATGACAGGCAGGCTGCGCTGACAGTCCTGCTGGCCAGGAGATGGGGCTCGAGTCAGGCACGAGGCAGGGATTGCCCAGAGGTCACCACAACTGCTGCAGGCCAGCCACACACAGAGAGTTAACTTAAAGCAGAAGACAGAGCTTGCCTACTGCAATGGGGAAGAAAGGCAAAACGCAGAAGGAACTAAAGCCTGCCAAGCCTCGGGCTAACATGGCCTTTGAGATTCCCATCACGGGAATCACCGTCAGCTCAGGCTTCGGGCAGACCTGGGGCCATGCGAGCTCAAGCCACCAAAAGAGACGGTATCCACAGAGCAAGGGCTCTGAAACCAGAACAGCCTTCAGACTGGATGCCCCACGGGGAGGCTGAAACACAGCGTCTCCTGTGCATCTGCACAGGCCCCAGGCACCCAGGACAGCCAGGCTCAACTCAGGGTGCTGGCTTACAGGTCTTCCAGGGGAACCTGCCACCTCATGCACAGCAGCAGGTGCAGGGAAGGACTGACAGAGAGCAAGAAACAACTAAAAGGCATCTGAAATTCCCATCAGAGCTCATTCCTTTCCCCCACAAGAGCTCCGGAGCAACAGAGAAAGGACCGATGGTGATGCACCAGCATTTCTTCCTGCTGGACAAGCCTTTTAGCTGTCTGTGACAGGGAACACTAGCGAGGTATAATGCCACAGTGGGGAAAGAACTCTCTCAGCAGAGCTTTTTGCAATGTCCTCTTACCTCGCCGGTAAAGCCTGGAAGCTCATTTCTCTTCAGGGCCTCGTGGAGAGCACGCAGGGTGATGTCCTTTGCTCCCCATTGCAGGAAACGAAGCTGCTGCTGGATCTTGTCGAGCTCTTGTTCCACCCTCAGCATTTCCAGACCATCACCCACCAGCCTAGAGACAGCAGGTAATTAATGGAGAGCGCGCACACAGCTGTCTTCTCACAAGCCGTGAGATGTGAGGCAGAGAACGAGCCTCACTCCGCGTGACGACAGGGTAACCGAGGTTTAATAGAGAGTTGACAATACTGGTTGGCAAGCTCCAAGAGCTCCTGACCGAGAAGCTGCTTCCTGGCTTCCTGGCTAACTTTGGGGGAACTAACGGACATGGAGAGATAGCAGCTCGAATGGGGAAGGGGAGAAACTCGGGGCACTGGTCACAGAAGTTGGACTCAGGTAACAAGTGGTCATGGACAAGGGGCAGAGCTCCTCTAGAGAAGAGTCCAGCCAAAGGGAGATTCTTTTCTTACCATGAAGTCTTTTTTTCCACTGCCCTTGAGCCTCCAGCAAGACTTCCAACGCAGTAAACACCTGCCAGGAATTCCACAAAGCTCTCAATAAATCATCTCTATAAATGTTCTGCCTTGGGCTGCCCACTCCCCTATCCCTGGGCAGAACAAATTGTTGGAGGCTTCCGAAAGAAGCATCCTCAAATCAGAGCTCTACTGAGACTCACCGAAAGACACCACAGCCACGGTGAACAGCAGCAGGGAAACTGTCTTCCGAGCCTTAGGTTGCCTACAAAGAAGGAGAAGCGTGGTGAAGAATGGTGAAGCAGGCTGTATCTGTACAGTGCAGAAGACGACTACGGAGCAACAGATGTTTAAAACTTGGGAAGGAACCATATCCTTACCAGTCCCCACGCCTGCCTTGCTGTCGTTTCGCCATTTCTCCGAAGCACAGCGACAAAAGACGCAGCTCGAAGCACAGCGACAAAAGACGCAGCTCGAAGCACAAGCCACAAAAGACGCGGCTCGAAGCACAAGCCACAAAAGATGCAGCTCGAAGCACAAGCCACAAAAGACGCAGCTCGAAGCACAAGCCACAAAAGACGCAGCTCGAAGCACAAGCCACAAAAGACGCAGCTCGCAAGGAGTGAGCCAAACCCTGTCCAACAGCTATGCCGTCAGGACTGAGAGTGGCCAAGGGCGGGGACAAGCTGCCTCAGTGCTGAGGGCCCTTTGTGACTTCACAATGGCCAGTGATGTCACCGCAGAGCAGCCAGCGCCATGTTTTGAGGGACAGGGAACAGGCTTTGCACCTCCTGCCTGCAGGGGAAAAGATCCTACAAGGTCAAAAAAAAACAAACACCTCCTGCCCAGCAGCCTGCTTGGTAGGATTTTGCTGAAGGGGAACGGGCTGGGAGCTACAAGCCGCCTGCCTTTTTCGGTCCCTGCTTTTGATGCCCTGTACATCAGATGTCTCACTCCGGG